TGACAGGAGATCTACATCAGGGGTATGCACCTTTGTGGGAGGAAACTTGGTCTCATGGAAGAGTAAAAAACAGTCGGTTGTGGCTAGATCAAGTGTAGAGGCTAAATATAGATCTATAGCTCACGATGTTTCAAAACTACTTTGGGTGAGATCTCCACTGAGTGAGATTGGAATAAAAGCTGAGGAGCCCATGATATTATATTGTGACAACCAAGCTGCAATCAATATTGCCCACAATCCAATTCAGCATGACAAGACTAAACACATTGAGGTTGATAGGCACTTCGTAAGAGAAAGGGTGACAACTAGAGAAGTCTGGTTGTCTTATGTCTCCTCTAAACTACAATTGGTTGATGTCTTCACCAAATGGGTTGCAAAGAATAAGCTTGAATACAATCTACGCAAATTGGGAATGTGTGACATTTATTCCCAACTTGAGGAGGAGTGTTGAGGTTTTAGACAAATCGTGTAGTCTATAGTGGTAGTTTTTTATTATTTATTGTTTAGATAGGAAGTGGGGACCACATCACTCTTGTTGGGTCCTTTTTGAGCAATTATTTTAATTGTTTTATGTTGTTTTATGTGTTAGCTGCCCTATAAGAGCATATTTGTCTTTGTACTCTTTATTATTTCGGACTATAAATAATAGTGAAGAAGGCGGCCAGCATTATTGCTCTCTTTTCTCTCTCAGATCCCTTCTCTTCCTTCTCTCCTTTCTTCTCTTCTTCAAGAAATATTCTTTTCTTTTACAGATTTTTTATTTCAGCACCTTTCTATTGGTTCAAAATTTCCCTTACAAATTGTCTTAGGGACCAAGTGCCTATGTTATTTGTCTGCATCCAGCCTACTACCAACTTTGAATCACCCTCCACTTCTAAATGCTGAAAACTCAACAACCAATCTGAGTCCTTGCAGTAGCGCCATTACTTCTGCCCTAAGTGAGTCACCTATCCCAATTGGTCCAGAGAATAAAGCCAAGATTCTTCCTTCCACATATCTAAAAACACCCCCAACTCCTGAGGGACTTACCTAAAGAACCGCCATCAAAATTCAGCTTTACCCTATTCTGTAGAGGAGGGGACCAGCTTTCATGAATGGTAGGAGATGAGGAAGAGGAGCCCAGTACTGCACTCCATCCTCTAATCAAGTTGTCTACTGAAAAAGCCCTGAACACAAATTCGACTGAACAGGAAAAGATGGCAAAATCCATCCCAGTAGCCAGGTACCGTTGTCACTTCGTTTATGATATTAATTCTTTCCATGTGCCTGAAGTAAGTGTTCCAGAGTCTGTACCAGCTGTTGTTCCAAGGGCCTGTGAAGCAGAGAATAGTGCTGATGATTATAGTGGGAATCCACCTAGGGATAAAGGGGGTAGGAGTGAGGAAGAGGAAGAGAAGGAAAAAGGTGAGAGAATTTGGGAACTTATTAATATCCTGTTTCAGGTTTTGAAACAGAAAGAGGTAGACACATTGTGAGAAGGTGGGGAAAACAAAACTAGAGAAGTTGAGGAAGTTAACCCGGTCATCAATGGGCAAAATTGAGATGTGAAACCAACTAGAACTAGTGTGGAAGTTGAAGATATGGTAGCAGACTTTGTAGGGAAGGAAGTTGAGAAAGTCTTCGTTCACAAGTTGGAAGAAGGGGAAAAATCAAGAAAAGGAAGTTAAGCAATGCGGAAAGATTGCGACTAGATGTAGAAGAGGAAAAAGAGTTCAATGCAAGAAGGGAAAGGAGAAAACGGGGAAGTAAAAACTAGGTAAAAAGAGGGAAGGTTAAGTCAGCCAAATGAGGATAGTCAGTTGGAATGTACAAGGACTGGGTAGTGCAACAAAGAGAGTGGTAATAAAGGAGGTGTGCAGGAAAGAAAAGCCCGATATAATCCTGTTACAAGAATCTAAATTGATGGAATTTGATAATAGATGGGTGAGAAGTCTATGGAGGAGTAAGGAATTAGTTGGACCTTGGCTCCTTCCTGGGGTTCCTCAGGAGGTGTAATTGTATTATGGAGGAATGAAGTCCTGGAAAATGTAGAAGAGTTTATTGGAAAGTTCACAGTCTATTAAAGTTAGATTGGCGGAGGATGAATTGAATGGGTGATGACTAATGTTTATGGGCCGAATGGTTATAGGGAGAGAAATGAAATGTAGGAAGAGTTAAGTGCCATTAGAGGGTTTTGGGAGGGGCCTTGGTGTATTGGGGATGATTTTAATGTGATTAGATTCATAGAAGAGCCTAACAACCCTAGGCAAAGAATAACAGTTAGCATAAGGAAGTTCAATGATTTTAATAATTTTGAGTTGAAAGAGGTGTCCCTCCTTAATCATAATGTTACTCGGTTCAACATTCAGCTCAATCCAATTTGCTCTAGGCTGGATAGATTTCTTTTCTTGATGAACTGGGAAGAACAATGGGGTGTTTTAGTATCGAAGACTCTACCAAGGGTAGCTTTTGATCATTGTTCAATTACATTCTATAGAGAAGATTTCATAGGATAGGTCCAATGCCCTTCAAATTCGAAAATATGTGGCTTAGCCACCTTGGCTTTATTCAGAAAGTCAACAAATGGTGGGAAGAAGGCAGACCAAGGGTGATTTGGAGAGGAATGTTGTTTCATCAGAGATTGCAATTCTTGAAGATAAAAATCAAGGAGTGGAACATAGAGTGTTTTGGGAGATTAGAAGAAAGAAAGTCTTTGACCAAATTGAATTTTTGGATAAGGAATCTTCAGGTACCTTGGAGGAGGGAAACAAAGAGTTAAGGTGGTCGTTGAGGAAGCAGTTGGAGGATATTCTACTTAAGGAAGAGTTGAAGGCAAAAATAGAGGAGTAAGTGGATTAAAGAGGGAGACAAGAACACCAAATACTTTCATTCCCTGGAAAATGGTAGAAAAAGGAAGAACCTAGTGTCTAGTTTGGACGTTGATGGTGAGGTGGTCACTCGACCTAGGGAGATTGCTAGGGCCTTTGTGGAACATTTCAAATCGATTTTTAGAAGGCCGCTAGGTGAAAATTTTGGTATTGAAGGTTTGGATTAGCCTCGTCTCTCTGAGGATGCTAAAGCTTGGATAGAAAGACCTCTTGAAAGGGAAGAAGATTTAGGAAGCTGTCTTCTCAATGGATAGATCCAAGGCACCGAGGCTAGATGGTTTCACCATGGCTTTTTATCAGGACTGCTCGGAGATAAAATTTGGACTTGTACTCCTTCAGGTTCCTTCTCTTGCTCCTCCTCCTTCAAAGCCTTGTCCTAACCCTCCTCTATCTCTTTGCCTTCTTTTCCAATTAAGGAGGTTTGGTGTAAGCATGTTCCTCCTAGAATTGGCACTTCTTGTTCGAAAGTTGCTCATGAAAAGATTAATACTTGTGACTTACTCCAAAGAAAATGGCCAAACTAGAGATTATCCCCTCATTGGTGTACCTTATGCAAGGCCAATGGTGAGAGTTGCTATCACTTACTTATCTCTTGTTCATTTACTTCTTTTATTTGGGAATTGAATGGTCTCTTGCCATGTTTGGGTGCAGGTGGATCCCTCCAACAAATGTCCAAAGCTTACTTGCTCCTTCTTTCTTCATTTGGCCAAAGAAAAGGGGAAGAATTATGTGAAGATATTTAAGAGCAGCAATATTATGGATAATTTGGGAAGAAAGGAACTCTAGAATTTTTCTAGAGAAGGAGAGAAGAAAGGAAGAATTAATGGAATTAATCATTTTCAGAGAGGTACATTAGCTGAAATCCTTGGATACTTTTTCCAATGTGTCAATGGATGTGTTCTCTGGAAAATGGAAGTGGTTGATTCCTGCTCAACTAAGCCCATCACCAATTACCACTAATCTCCTCCGGGAATAGGGTTATTAAACTTAATTTTGATGGCAGCAGCTTGAGAAACCCAGGTATTTCAGGTATTGGTGGGGTTTTTAGAGATAAGGAGGGCAAAATTCTAGCTCTTTACTCAGAACCAGCTGGGGAGGGGGACTCTCTTAGAGCAAAAGTATTGGCACTGGTGGAAGGTGTTCAAAGAGCAAAAGACTTGAACATTAGGAAGCTGATCATTGAAGGAGATTCCAAACTGGTAGAAAGCTGGTTACAAGGAGAAGGTTCAAAGTTCTAGACCTACAGCAATGAAAAGAAGAAAGTAAGGTGGTTGACAAGAGATATATGGAAATCTCTTTCAATTGGATTAAACAGTGTGCTAACTCATTAGCTGATGTATTAGCAAAACAAGGGGTGGCGAGAGAATCTTTACTCTGGGCACTCTTGTAATTGAAGGAAAGCTGGGGGAGAGATATGAGGTTTTATCTCTCATTGACTGACTCTTCTTTCTCTTGTAATTCTTATATATTGTACACTTTTTTATCTATTAATGAATTGAAACAATGCAGTTATTGATCAAAAAAAAAAAGAATAAGCCTTGAACAGATCCAATGTTTTCAGCCAGTGTATGACCTTGATGGTTATTTCTTCTACCAATTCATCGCTTGATTTTCCTTGCCCTTGGAAGATCCTAATGTTCCTCTCTTCCCAGACTGCCCAGAACCCCATCTGGTTAAACCGTAACCTATGGTCATGGCTTATCTATAAACCAAATGGAACAAGAGTTAAATCTGGAATTCTGGATGTCAAAGATCTAGCATCAGTATCTGACATCAAAATCTTCAGTAGTCCCCATACCGGTTCATCTTATTGACCCATTAAAGATAATGAAAGATTATAATATAAGAAAAAAATAAAATATACAAAATTAACATACTACATTTATAGCATAAGTATTACATGTCATATAATTTATACATGAAAACATAATAGCAAAATGTGATTGTACAAATGCTTTGTCAGTTCAGCACCCAAAACTTAATGATTGCATGGTTGAATGACTTCACCCATAATCACGATTCAGTGAATCTCAGAAGGTGAATATAGATAGGGACCAAATTGTATTTTCTAGGTCAATAACCATCAAATTTGTATTTTCTAAACAGGGACCAAACATCAGTTAAACAAAATACCTTGGAGTCAATATCGTGGTCCAGAAGGTCATTCACTGTACATCCAGCACCTCTTAACAGCAATGCCCCACAACCAAATAGTGACAACATCTTAATATCAGGAAGGCTACCAGGAGATGCTGCCAAGGTAATTGACCTGGAACAATGAACTAGGAGTTAGACGAATAGTGAAAACAAAGAAAATTAAAACATTCATAAAAAAAATGAAGCAAGAAAAGAAATTTCAGGAGGGGCCGAGCCCCTATTTTTGACCTAGGAAAAGAAAGAAAGGATGAAAGAAGAAGAAGAAAATCAACATGTAATGAATGTGCAAAATTTGAAGTCCTTCCTTGCTTATTAATTCAGGCTTTGACATCTTCAAGAGTTCAAGATAGCATACATGTCGATTTAACCCTAAAAAATAACAAACAATAAAAAGGAACTAGTATTTTAACTCACAAATTGAATAATTTAGTTTAACAAAATCTGTTTTATAATTGTAATCTCAAAAAAGTAAGAATGTAAAAGTATATAATAGAACCATGTAGAAAATACCTTGGCAATTAAGTGAGGCGACCCTCCATGGGCGTCTTGTTGCCTAGGAAAGAATTTTAAAGGCATTCCAATGGATCTGATTCTTGGGGGCTAGCTAGAAAGTGGTTGCAAATTGTGCTCCCCCCCCCCCCCACTCCCAATCCCAATCCCCCAAATAAAAAAAGGAGACTGCTGCAACAAGCTTGGAGGGCATTAGAAGCCAGCAAGATAAGACTCAATTTTGATAATATCCATAGTAAACGGAGATCCTTCAGGTGTAGGTGGGCTCTTTAGAGATCACACAAACAGCCTGTTTAGCTATTCTAACCCCATTGCCATTGGTAAGGGAATTCACTAAGAGAAGAACATCATTTGGTACTCTAAGACTTGTTCACTCAATAGATTTGACTAATTCTCTTGTTGAGGACTGCCAGGTTGTGATTGGATGACCCTTGGATGCTCAGGCATCAGATTAGAAGAAGGCAAGGTCTTTGGCAATTGGGAGAGAAATCTTTGTTTAGAGGACTCAAAGCCCTAAGGCTGAGCAGTAAGACTGCTTTTTTGCAAATTAGCAACTTATAGTTGTGTACCTTTACATTATTAATAAGCATTCTTTGATGCTTTAATGTTGGTTCACAAAAAAGGTTTCCTTGTGAATGATAATAGACAATAATTAGGGATGCAACTCAGGTTGGATTTAGTTTTCATTTTACAGTACTTCGGGCTCAGGCATTTGGGCCAGGCCCATCAAATTTTGACAAAAGTCTAACCCGAGCCCACCCAAATTGCACCCCTAACAATAATTATCTAGGAAAAAGGACAAGGACAAGAAAAGTAAAATAACAACTCTATATCTCATTTCACCAGTTGTTTCATTAATGCATGTAGTTTATGGTTGTTAGAACAAAGCCAACTTTTCTATCTATATAATCAGCTGGAAGAATATTCTTCTTCCAATCCAACTGCCAACCTAACTGAAGAGAGACTTTAACAGGGAGATTTCCATAGTGTTTAGATATTCCAACTTCTATTGTTATAAAAAGTGGGTTGGGCAACCCATAAATAATAATCTCAAGTATCAAATAGATTAATGTATGCAATACCTTTCAAAGTCCCAACTAAAAGGGAATAAGATGAAAGAGATGCCATATTTGGTTTATTTCTCATTCTTACCTAAGATGAAATTCTAAAATGCACAAGAATGGACAAAAATAGGCTGAATGAGAAAATATTGCTATGAACCAAACACATTTTTTCCTAAAAATGAATTCTTTTAAGACTGACAAGTGTCTTGTATTGTTCATTTTCATTCTTCAAAAAAACAATTGTGCTGGTATTTACAAACCGCCAGCCTAGGTCTCCAACAGTCAATGTTTACTAGTTGGCATAGATGTTTTGTAAAAATACTTTCATAAAAGTGCTTTTGTGAAAGTACTTTCATAAAAATGCTTTTATAAGAGTACTTTCGTAAAAGTATTTCCGTAAAAGTGCTTTCATAAAGTACTTTCACAAAAGTGCTTTAGTAAAGTATTTTTATAAAAGTGCTTTCGAAAAATGATTTTATAAAAGTACTTTCGTAAAAGTGCTTCCACAAAAGTGTTTTTATAAAAGTGTTTTCACAAAAGTACCTTCGTAAAAGTCCTTTAGTAAAGTACTTTTATAAAAGTGCTTTCATGTAAAAGTACCTTTATAAAAGTGCTTTCACAAAAGTAAACATTTATGGCAACAGTTTTGTAGGCAGAGTTTTCTTTTTTGAATGAAAATGAGCAAGATTGGGCATGATTATTTTTCAGGCTGCAGGCTACCCAATTTTTGTGTTATGGGGCTGAATTTTCATTCTAAAAAAAATGTGGCCATGGCAAGAATTTTGTAACCATTAACCAAACACTCTAATGTTATTCGTTCTTGCCTAGAATGAAGAAGAATTAAAAGAATGAGGCCCAAAGCAATGAACCAAACATGACCTATATTGCCATCCTGGGTTCTTCCCTAGATTTTGAATCATCATTATCCAAGCCTTATCCCAACTATGTGGGGCCGGTATCTTCCCTAAATTTTGAATGTTTTGCAAAATAACACCACACATATTTTCGTTTGTATTTGATGAAAACCTTTAAAACCCAGAACTACATTATGGTCTAAAATTTCAGAAAGGCGATATTACAGCCTAAATATTCATTCCTGTGACAATTTACAGTTGATATAAAACCTTGAAAATAAGTAGCAATCATAATAATAGAAAGGAGAGCTTACCACATACATGGCCAGGCAAGTAACCAGGTCCCAATTGGCTTATCCAACCGAGCGAGCCGAGCATAAGGCTGTACTGCCTGAGGAAGATACAGATCGATCCATGACTGCTCGACCTTTGAACCCCCATCCAAACCACTATTGGTTCCCTTCGCCATACCAGAAGAGGTAGATATGGTTGCAATGGATATATTCAAATTACAACGGTCATATTTACTATAAGTAAATCTAAAATCATCAATCAAACGGTATTTGGGTTCTAGAGTTCTGAGATGGACAGGAGGCTTGCAATGGGGCACTGAGCATTTAGGGTCTGTCAAGGAAGCCAAAGAGGAAGGATCAAAGAGCGAGCGAGCGAGTGAGTACGAGAATGGAGGAATCCGTAACCTGCGAGAAGCATGTGAAAGGCAAAATGCTGCCATCTCTCTCTCTCTCTCTAATGACAGGAGACTGAAATACAGAATGTCCACCTCCGTGCTAGGATATATAGTATGGTTAAGGAGAAGGAAATAGCTTAGATTGAGACGTGAAGATTGGTATTTTGATGATAATCTGATAATGAAAAATCCACATAGGAAGAAACGAGAATGGAATGGCTGGAAAAAAAATCAGAAGTCGGCTCAGCTGTGAAGGTACACAAAGCTTTGTAAAGAGAAAATAGAATTTGCAGGAGATGGGGGCGGAAAGACTAACAATTTTTGAGACAGCAAAAGCCACACAGCTTGGTGACTCGGGAGGGCCTCAGCTTTTGATTGAGCTACGTTTGACTGAGGAAGCTACTGGCCCGTCGAGGTGACACCGGACGGGAGGGGTTCACCGTTTGGGTATGATGCGCGCAGAGCGTTTAGGAGCTAGGGCTTTTGACTCAGCGGCTTTCTGGCGTTGCAACTTGCAAGAGCCAAGAAATCCGGAGAGCCCGTCAAACGCACTGCGTTTGGTTGCAATACAAACGCAAATATGTACGGGTGAGCTGTGAGCATTCGTTAAAAACCGAATCCAAAAATTTTAAAAATCGAAATAAAAAAAATGAAAACTGAACCGAAACTGAATTACAATAAAATCGAAATAATAGAAACTAAAGTTTTCGATTTGATTTTTGATTATTTTGATTAAAAACCGAATTTAATTAACATATAATATATTAATATATAAATATATAAATATATAGGATATTATATATTAAATGTTATATATTACATATGAATTTCAGTTAATTCAGTTTTTTCGGTTAACCAAATTTCTAATTCTGAAAACTGAAATTCCTAAAAACCGAATTAACCAAAAACTGAAACTGAAATTTTCGGTTCGGTATTTCGATTTTAACCGAATAATGCTCACCCCTATGTACAATGCATATTTACCCTTTTCGGTTCATGAATGCCAACGGTTCACATTTTAAACCGTTTTTTGCACTCATCTTGTTTGTTTGAAATCAGTGCAAAGTGTGGGCCCATCATTAAATGTTCCAACTATCTTATGCTCCAATGCCTTAACTTTGGTCAAAAAGTTAATTATCAAAAGAACACAAAATTGTATCTGTTGCTGCATAGAATGGGATAGGGGCAACACTATCAATTCGCTCCCGAGCCGAGGTGTGGCTGAATAGTCTGAGGCCTAGGTTGGTCGAGGGCTGGTAGGCCTGTCTTGCGAGGAGTAAAGAAGAGAGAACGTTAGAGGCCTCGGGCAAGTACCCAAGGCGAAGACTCCGACGATCAAGTTAGTTCGGGCTTAACTCAATGTGGACAAGGCCTGAAGTGGGAACACTCAGACAAGGCCACAAGGAAGCTGGAGAGTTCTCAAAGTTCTTAGGTCTAGATTCTAGATGTTTACCTTGAGGGGGTTGCCCCCTATTTATACTTAAGGCTGCAAGGAGGTAGGTGGGCTCAAACAGTCAGGATGTTGTCCTTTCTTGAGGAGCGCGTCCATCCGAGGCTACTGCATGCAGCTATGCCATTGGCTTCGGGTCGCACGTTGAACTCTGCTCCGCGCGTGCCCTCATTGTGTCTGTTCTGGGTGCCGCTGCCTACCACGTGCACGTGTGCTACTGGTTAGGGCCAGGTATGCCTACAACATTTGCCCCTCACTCTCAAATTTGTGGTGGGGGTCCAAGCTAAGGACCTCGACTTCGACCGAAGAGAATGCATTGCATTTGCTGGTAGGGGTCGCTGGGCTTTCTTTATAAGGGTTTCGGCTTCGCCTAAGGAAAATACCTCACCTTCGGTGGGGAGCGCCAAGAAGCTTCCTTTATCGGGGGCCTCGACCTTGACTTGTTGGAGATAAACTTGGTGTTGCCTGCGGTGGCATCAACTTGATCTTTGCTCCTCTCCCTAGGGGGCGCTATGGAGGCTCAGCTACCTGGAGGCCTCGGCTTCGACCTCTGCACCCATGCCGAGCTTGGGCAAGAGGGGCTTTTTCCCCCTTGTCCATTTGTTTATCGACACCAAAGTGAGTATTCGTGAGGCCCTCAGCTAGGGACACCAAGGGTGTCACCAATGGTTAGGAGGCTATGACTTAGTACACCAAATGGGTCTTGCTATTGATGAACCATAGCCCTTGAGGGGGACGGGTTCCTGTGACGAGCGTGGACTGTATGTTCCACGGGTTCTCGTGCAGGTGGGGTCGTGGTGTGGCACCCGTAGGAGGTACAAAGCCAGCCAAGCCAATTTGCGCATTCTCCAGTTTGGCGACACTGAGTGAATCGGTCGACGTGGCGAGGGGGCCAGTCGGCTTGCCCGACGTCACTTCGTCTTCCTGAGGTGTGCGATGCATGTCGGTTGCTGGATAGGACCACGAGGGTGGTCGTTGCATAGCCAATGGAAAGGAAGCGATATAGGTCGTCCATTTTCCTTTAAGTAGGGGCCTTAGTTGCGCTTTCTCCCACCATTTGCTTCCAAGCATCTTTGCCTTCGAGTGACCTTTGCTTCCAAGAGACCTCGGCTTTCTTGTTCTCCTTAGAGTTTTCCAAGTTTCATCTTCTTTAGGTAAAGAATCCTCTTGCACCCATGTCTTACTCAGACTCTGGTCTAGAATGCTATGAACTCCCCAACATCTTAGGAGCGAGCTCCTTCCAATTTTAGCGGGGGCGCGTTGAGTGGACATGAGGTCCGACCCTAAGGCCTAAGGTCGAGATGCTGAGTGAAGGACTGCCCTGGTAGGTTCTAAATAAAGCCGAAGGGGCGATGAATCTCCTAAGGACAGGGGCCGAGTACGCAGCCCGAGGGGTGAACATAGGGCGCATGCCGTGTTCGGAGCAAGATAGCATTATTGACTTCAAGCAAGTAAAAACCTTAGCTAGAAAATACTATATCCCTCGATCTTATAGGCTTAGGGTTCCTGACACCAGTGAACAGTCGTGGACTCCAGAGGAGGGGGAAATCTGTGTTTACCAACACTTCCTAGAGTTTGGCCTTAGATTTCCCCTCCATCCTCTGATCACCGAGCTACAGAGGTGGTATGCTATATCGATCAGCCATCTTGCCCCCAATGCTCTTAGGACCATCCTTGCTTTGTTGGTTGTGGCTCGGCTTCAGGATGTGGAGCCCACCGAGAAGATTTTCCACGCCATGTTTGTGTCGAGGACACACCCTCAAGAGGGTGGTATATACTACTTTCAATCTAGGACAGGCCGACCTATAGACAACCCCTCATTCATACACAACTGGGAGAGCAAATTCTTCTTCATCTCCTGCCCCGAGGGTTGGTCCTTTAGGTCAGGCTAGGGGGAGATGCGCTTGGCCGCCGAGAAGCCCATGTCTTTCCTTTGGGACGATGAAGCCGCTGTGGTGACCCATATTCTCGTGTTGGGGAAGATCCAAGCCAAGCCCCTAGTGGAGGAGGAGCTTCCCTTAGTTTTTGTTGTGCTCAGTCCTGCATGCCTCGGTAGGAAAAGTCCTATTGTCGACTTTTAACACGTTGATCTTTCACTTTTCCTTGAAGGTACTAACTCTCGTTTCGCTTTGTTGCAGATATGTCGGTTAATGCGAAGAGGTTGCTGTTGGTAAGGGCCCAAGCCAAGAAGAGGGCGCATCGGGGAGGCAGGCGCCGAGAGGGGCTGCTCCCGCCAAGAGGACACCTTGGCCCTAGGCTCCAGCTGGCACCGGAGCTGACCGAGGCAAGAGGTCGACAGAGGGGAGCTGACCGCGAGAGACTGGCCAGAAAGGGCCAATTGATGCGCCTCAACCCCCTTTGGGGAAGAGGTTAGTGCACATGGACCGCCCAATGGAGGGCGGTTTGCGAGGGAGAGAGGTCATTGTCGTGCCGAGGGGGCCACTGGCCAAGGGGCCTACGACAGGGCCTTCTTTTGCTCCCCCCTTCTTCCTCAGGGCCACTAAAAGAAGGGGAGTTGGTTACACGATGGATGTTCCACCCATAGTGGCCCGTCCAAGAGGGGGATTCCCTTGATACCATGGGATCGGGAAAGCCCTGAATAAGGGGGTGATCCCTTAGGGAGACCGACTGGCCATGATGAATGGGGACCCCCTCAAACTCTGGGACCACAACTTAGACCATTTGGTTGAGGTATGCTCTTCTGTCGTCTCTCCTTGTATGTGTGGTCTTTCCTTTTGGCTTTAACTTGTTGATGGGGGTATTTCTATTGTAGGTTTTCCAGTACTACATCGGCTTGGGTGATTGAGTCGGGATCCTCCTTGATCGCTTAAAGAAGGTCGAGGAGAAGAAGAGCGGCTCAAGGTGTGGGTCACTAAGGCCGAGAGTAGTCAGGACACTGCCGTCTCGGCTACGAACGACAAGAGGGAGGTCTGGAAGACATTGGACGATGACCTCAAGGCAGAGAAGGCCTGGATTGTCGAGCTTCAGGAGGCCTTGAAAAAATTGGAGCTTGAGCGTGTTAGTCTCAATGAGGCCTTAATGGCAGCTCAGGCGAGGGCGATGGAGGCCAAGGAGGAGGCAAAGGACACTGTCGCCATCTAGAAAACGTCAGAGGAGTACCAGAGTTGTCTTGCTGATTATGGGGTTGATTCCTATCTGGAGGGCATTGAGGACACCAAGCTCGAAATGTTGAGGTTGATGCCCAACTTCCCAGTGGACAAGCTAAAGGTCCCCCGGATGTCGAAACTCTTCCTACTGAGGGCCCCATCGCTCCTGCTATTGAGGTCCTTGTTGCTCCTGCTGCTGCCGAGGACTCTACTGCTCCTATTGCAGAGGGTGATGCATAGGCGGCTCTTCTGCTCTTTTTGTTGTTTCTTGTATTTATGTTTACCTTTTTTGTAAAGGGCCTAGTCTCCCCATCCGAGGCCTTATTTTATAAGATCTGAAAGTGAACACTTAATGAATTATATTTTTTGCATATATTATGCCTTTGTTGCTTCTATCTCTCTCTTTTTTTTTTGTATATGAGGGTCTATGCCCCCATTCCAGGAGGTCACAAGTAGCAAAAAGTCACCATTCAAGGTGGCCTGCCACTTAGTTGCTCGCCTAGGAAGTTGAATTTAAGGAGATCGGCCGAGGTTGGCTAAGGTGTCGAGTTCCTTAATTGAAACCTTTGCTAGAAAAATGCATAGGTGAGGCTATTTCATGCTTAGCAGTCAAGGTTTTTAAAACCAAACTAGACAACAAGCTGGTTAGGGGTCCAGTTCTCGGGTCGAATTGTCCGACTGTTCGAACCAAATGGGCAGCCTATTTTGACAAAAAAAATAAAAACCGCCAAAACCGTTGGACGATTCGAACGGTTTGACTGCCCAAGTCAACGATTTGCTGACCAAATCAACAATTTTTGGCAAAATAAGGGTTATGGGGTAAAATGTAACTAGTCACTTGACTGGTTTCCAGTTTTTCCGATCCAACTGTCCGGTCTAGTCTGGTTTTGAAAACCATGATTGATCAATCTTCAATCCCCATCTAACTGAACATAGCCCCGTGAGGCTAGAACCATGATTCAAAGTATCGATACACCTCTACGTATCAGTGCTTAGAAGCACACG